GAATCATTTCACTATCACAACTACCCACTGAGACACCAAATTTACTGAATTCTTGAAAGATAAACCGTTTTCTTGATGGCCGAAAATCACAAGATTTCGATTTCCTAATTCCCCTACCTGTTTTTAAGTGGTTTTCAATTTCTGATGCAGTAGTCTACTATTTGTTGCAGTTCAGAACTAGAAAGTAAAAGGTGAACCAGTAACAGAGAAGTAACAGGTGCAGAATATATGATTATTCTACTGTGGAGGACAATGTCTATTGGTGCAGCGGAAGCAAGGACTTGGAGGGCGTGAGTAGGGGCTGTCCTATAAGCTTTAGTCGTTCTCAGGAACGCTATTCTTTAACTCTGCTCGAGGATGCTTCTACTCCTGCTTTGCAATTTTGTTCCCCAAGCTGCTCCTCCGTACGTGGCAATGGGCAGGTATACGCTTTTATAAGTGATAGAGAGCGCCTTTGGACTCAGCCCCCATTTTGATTTCGCGATCGAGCTTAGTTTCGAGAAGACGCATCTCGTCATTTCTCTGATCTTGATGGCATGGTGTGTAGGACTTAGAAATTTTTATCGCCAGTCTGTATATTATACAGTAACTGAAGATTAACTATTTCTTATCAATTTAATGTAAACAACAATAAATTTGTCTAAACATACCGAATTATTTATTTCTTTATTGTTTTTCAACATTTATTGAGTTCAGAGATTTCAAGAACTGATTCTGGGACACCGAAATAAGTTTTTCTTCCTCTATTGGCCAAGTTTCACTACTTTGAACCAAATATCGTATTAAAATAGATCTTTCTATGTAGCATATTCAACAATCTGTTATTATGTGACTCCAGGTTTGGTTATTATAGCCACAAGGGCATGCAGGATTAATTATTATATTAAATATTGCATGATATGATTATTTTTACTATGGTTTGTCATGGCTATTGTGGATGTGAAGAAATATTTTATATTTAGTCGAAGGCGAGAAGTTATAGTCGGAAAATAGCGTTTTGTTATTTTTGCATCATTGGTATTTTTCAATTCTCCCCACTTTTTATGTTTTCCTCATCAGTAAGATTTTTGACGTAGGTTACAGGAACTTCAGCGAAACATAAGGATATTTCGTCATTTTTTTGCTGCCTCTTTTGCGCTGAGATCTGCCATCTCATTTCTCACTTCACCAGCATGTGCCTTCACCCAGCAAATTGTAATGTTCCAACTGAAATCATGTCGAAACATTTTTAGTTTTTCTCTGATTTCGTCAACTAATTTATGATGGTTTCTGTGGTGAAACTTTGAGATGGAGATACACCATCCGTATGAAGAATTATCGTTCTTTTTGCATCTCCCGTTTCATTCTCTAGGAACCACTCTACTGCTTTCAAAATGGCCAGGAGTTCGGCAGTGGTCACGATTCCTTTTTTTCTGTGTAATCGAGAAGGCGCATCCAACCATGTGAATTTTGCTACCATCAGCGAAAACTTCATAGTCGTAATTGTCATTTATGGAATCAAATTTTAACTCGTCTACGATTGTGACATTTTCTGCCCCAGTTGGATGAGCCCAGTTTTCTGGGAGTACTAACTTTTCTAGTTTGCATAACGGCGAAGTAGGACTTACAGCTTCATAGTTTTTACCTATTTCTGTTATTTTCTGGTTTATAGGTATTATTCCAGCTAGGGTCACAGCTGCGTGTAATGATATGGTTCTATATCCTCTGATAATTCTCAGTGTCTTTTTTTTTGTACGCGTCTTAGTTGTTGCTTAGTGTAATCTTTTCCTAACGCTGAATACTATACTGGTGCAGCATAAGTTTTTTATTTGCTAATTTATTTAGAAATCGTGAGATGCGGTCTGGTGTGATGTAGGTTTCAGAAAAACATTTTCTTTATCGTGCCATCGTTTCGATCTTTATTGAGATCATCTTCAGGGCTCAAAGTGTTTTTCTTCTGTGTAATTGTGCCATTCTTGCGTGTCGTGTCGAGAGTGCCCAGAAGACCAACACTTTGAGCCCTGAAGATGATCTCAATAAATATCGAAACGTTGGCACGATAAAGAATTTTTTTTCCTGAAACCTACATCACACCAGACCGCATCTCTCGATTTCTAAATAAATATCAATTAACGGTCACTAATCACCACACATTTATTTGCTAATTATTAATTTATATCAACTTTCGTGTCATGCATTTATTTCCGAGTAAACGTCCCGGATCACGTTTTCCCAAATTCCAACTAAAATTGCCCATCAAAAAATCAAAATAATTGAGGTTTCGAATAGTCTGTTGTAAAGGTCATAAAATATTGAAGTTTTTAGTGGCTTGACTTTATTAAAAATAATGCGAGGGTGCTACTGTTTAAAAATGTTCGAAAATTACCATATCGCAAATTTTATGATGTTTGTGTTATTTTGTAAGTAGACTGTCAATTTAGCCACGACGATAGTTGTAGGTTATTTACTCAACTTAATCCATTAGTCAAATCTTAAGGAATCAAGCACACATTACTGTTTACGTTATTTTATGTGCGTACAGGGTGTCCTTTTTAGATGGATCCTGGACAAGATGAGAGCAAGACGGCCTCAAGCAGTAAGTCCAAAGTGCATCTCTAATTTTATTTTTTGAAAAATCTAAAGCACAAAATTTTGGAGAGAGGAATTCGGATTTTTACGAACATACAGTAAATATTCAGCTTCACGTCGAAATTACCCTGGCGGTTTCTTTTTGCCGTAACATTTTCATTTTTTGACCAATTTAAAATCCGATTGCACTATTGTTTTCAGCGTAAAAAAACTTTAAAATGATGGGTCAGTTTGTATAGGGTCGTGGTTGAAATTTTTGTAGTTGAACTGGGCCTGAGGTACCCTGTATAATTTTTCTCCAAAAAAAGGTAAAAATTTAAAACTAGATTAAAAAATATTAAAAACTTATTTTTTGATTTTTGGATAGCTTCATCGGTTCAAGAGAAATTCACTCGGGCCATCTAAAAAGGACACCCTGTACATTTACAAGTTTGTTAACAGTAAAAACTTCATCGACAAAAAATACAATAAATTTAAAATCAAATATAATTTATAGAAAATTTCTGTTTTTATTAACTGTGTTATGTTTTTAATTAGTGTTAGTTTTATTCTTAGGCCAAATGTTTCTCATGGACCGGTTCTTCGACGGAGCGTTCCTCACGTTCGGAATCGACGTTTTCCGCTTTCTGGAGAGTGACCAGGAAGACAGGGTCGACCCGATGATCTTCATTTTCCCAAGGATGACCAAGTGCACCTTCTACAAGTACGGCGTGTCCGGCGAGGTCGAACGGCACGACGCCGTCTGCATCCTCCCGCTCAACGTGGTCAACGAAAAGATCTACGTCTTCTTGTGGTTCTGGTTCCTCATTCTCGGAGCTCTCACCTCCGTCGTTATTCTCTATAGGTGAATACGCTTTATTTTATCTAACCTTTTCAGGACGGTCAGCACTATTCGTTCCCCAAGTGAAGTACCAAGAGCGTATACTTCATTTTTCAAGTTCATAGAAGCAGAGTAGTGTTTAAGTTATGCATTTCTATCGCTAGTGAGAGTGAGTACCATAACGCCGTTATTTACCATTTTAAGAAGCACATTTGTACTTTGAACTTCAGTCTAAAAGTGACGAGACTAAAGCGATATCACGCTCTGTGCCTGAGTACTCAGTAGGGGTGAGTGTGTGGCATGCTCTAAGTACGTCACTTGGGGAAGAATACGATATTACGTTCACTGTCCTGAAAGGATGCATCTTGTATCATGGAAACCTCCAAACTTAAATTAATTTATAAACTTCACATCGTTTTGTTTTAGGATTATGATCATCCTCAGCCCGAGGATGAGGGTGTACCTTTTGAGGCTGCGATTCCGGCTGGTCCGCCGGGAGGCCATAGACGCGATCGTCCGGCGTTCTAAAATGGGCGACTGGTTCCTGCTGTACATGCTGGGCGAAAACATAGATTCGATCATATTCCGCGACGTCGTACACGAACTCGCTTCGAAGCTCGGCACGGCGAAGCCTATCGAACCCTAGCCGAGGCCTCCGCCCCCTCTCCGTCTCAACTGGGACAGGTAAAAGTCCAACATTTCATACAACTTCAAATAAATCAGCTTGTAGATCCTTGAAAGAACATCGAATCCTTTCTTGGAAAAGAAGTACAATGGAAATAATAAACTATAAACTATAAGTCAATAAATAATGTAGAGTCCTAAGGAAGAATCTAGCCTTGCTACAACAAAAACTTCTTCATAGCATTATAGTACATATTATGACAATTAAAAAATTATGTAATTTTAATATACATATTATAATTAACAATTATGACCTTCGGGGGAGTCGGTGGCCGCAACGGTTTAGGCGTTGACACGGGGCTCATTACTGTAATGTAAAGGTCCCGGGTTCGAATCCAGCGGCCCTGCATTTATGCCCGACATACAAATGGGCTTTTTTTCAAAAAAACACCCGCACTCTGAGGGCTTATATGGCCTCTGCTGTTACGAACCCTCGTTAAAAAAATTCCGATTTTCTGTTGCTTAGAGAAATATCAATTAAATTTAATAGGACTATCTTAACTTTTGCGAGAACACGCAGAAGACAATTGTATTGACGAATTTTTTAAATGATAAAATGGTTATAATATGGAATGTTCTAAAATTGAACTACCATTCCAAATCATCACGGGGTGACTGGAACAACACAGACACAAAATGGCTCCTCTCAAATAAAGAGAAACCTACAAACAACAAAAACATCAACATAGGCACAAACATTAAACTTGCAAACAAAACAGATACACATTTACACCTAAAACAATTACATCCAGGTACTCAAGGACAAAGAAGTACTACACGATCTATTTATCAAATTAGTTATAAAAACTGCATCAAAAACAAGACATCCAATTAGAAAACAAGAAGGCAGAAACGGTGATTATAGGAAAAATAAACATAATTGAAATAGAAAAACAAATAGAAAAAACTATTAGATATGAAGAAGATTAAATGGACTAGAGAAACAATAGTAATAATAAATCTTTATGTAAGGTATTGGTTGAGATAAAAAAGTCAGGTCACGAGCGGGATTCGAACCCACGACCTTCGGCTAGATAGCCGCTACTCTACCACTTGAGCTATCGTGACTTCGATCCGCTCGGACCAACTTTCCATCCCAACCTCTCCCTTCGAATTTTCCCTCCTTTTTGCCATTTTTCAAATAGTTGGTATGGGAAGTTGGTGGCCGAGTGGATCGGAGTCACTATAGCTCAAGTACTAGAGCAGCGGCGTGGGTTCGAATCCCGCTCGTGGCACTGGCTTTATCTCAACCAATACTTTTCATAAAGATTCTCCTAATTATACTCTGGAGATTTGCGCCCTCAATCTATAGTCTATAACAGGGATCGGCAACCTTTTTCGGACGGCGGGCTTTTCAAAATAAATTTTTTTATGCTGGCCGCACATTCAAATGTAACTTAAATAGTGCTTTTATATCATATACGAGTATAAATATTATTAAAAATAAATATAGAAAAAATTTATTTTTTATTGACATGCTATAATAACAATAATGTCAGAGAACAAAAATTTTACAATTCTTAAAAGGGGGAAAAAAAAGAAAATACAATTCCAATTACATATGTATAAATATGTAAATATAAAATATATACAATATTAAGGAAAATAGTTTATCTTTCATTTTATTCATTCATTAAAATTCAATGCGCTTTTTGTTCTTGAATATTGTTTGATATTTCATTTAAGTCCGGTTGTGTTTGGGATACTGAGATCCTCAACAAGTTTTGTAAATTTTCATCCGTCAACCTCGTTCTATATTTTGATTTTATGAAATTCATTCTTGAAAATGTTTAGCATAAATAGGTGCTTGAAAAAATACAAATCATTGATTTTGCAAAATTTCTTAAATTGGGAAATTTGTTTTCTGGTAGATTTGAATAAAATGCAATTAAATTATTTTCATCAAAATTATTTTTATATACATTGTTAGATTGCAAATCAATTAACTCTAGTTGTAAATTGTCTGGTGCTTTTACAATATTAAATTTTAAAGGATTTTCAAATATTAATATGTCCATTTCTTTTGCATAAAAATCTTGAAACCGATGATGAATTTTCATCCAGTACTTTTAGTAACTCAATAAAAATATTCGAAGGACACTGTTTGTCGTTTTTGGTTAAAAACGATTGCAAAGTAGGAAAATGACAATAATTATTCTTTTCAAGTTGAGAAATAAACAATTTTATTTTAAGCTGAAAACTTTTGATTTCTGTAAATAGCTCGTTGATTAACTTTCCTTTGCCTTGTAGTGTTATATTTAATTTATTGAGGTAAGTTGTAATGTCCATAAAAAAAGCTAACTCGCTTATATATTTAAAATTTAATAATTCTGGTATATTATTTCCTTTTTGTGTCAAAAACATGTCGATCTCGTCTATCAACTCGAAAAATCTTTTTAAAACTTTCCCACGGCTGAGCCATCTTACTTCAGAAAAATAAATTATATCTTCATATTCTGCGTAAATTTCATGTAAGAAATTCCGGAATGTTCGATGGTTCATACCGTTTTTGCGATTATAATTGATGGACTTTACTACAATATTCATAACATTTTTCAAATTTACAACTTTTGCGCAAAGTCCATGTCGATGGATAATACAATTGAAGTTGTAGAGGAGGCTGTGTAATATTTAATTCTTTCAATTTTTTATTAATCATGCCTACCGAACCAGTATTTTGACCCGTCATGTTCTTTGCACCGTCAGTTGTCACATTTTTTAATTGTTCCCACTTGAGATCGTACATATTGAAAACATCTGATAGTTGCAAAAATATATCTTCACCTTTTGTATTCCCATGGAGGCTTTTTAATGCAGCAAGTTCTTGTGTTGGGGGACCGCGGTAGCCGAGAGGTTAGCATGAGAGACTCTCACCCCGCGGTCGTGGGTTCGATTCCCTCCGTCGCCTCTGGTCCTTTTTTCACGATAACCCCCCCCCCAATTTGAACACACATAACGATAACCCACCCAATTTGAACACACATATAAGAATTCGTATGAGAATAAGAAAAACGTATAAGAATAAGAAAAAAAAACCAATTGAGCGGGGTGCTAGTTATATCGTTGCTTTCATCAAGTGCTAGTGAAAAGTACTCAAAATGTGAAGAATTTTCTTTTAATTTAGGGTAAAATAGGTTTCCCACTATGCTTCTGTTAGCGCGCATTTTTGTCACCGGCCACATTTCGGCACGCTCACGCTCTAAGTTTGTTGATTTTTCCTAAAATTATATTGGGCTTTGGCGGGCCGCGCAAAAAGTTGCAGGTTGCTGACCCCTGGTCTAGAAAATCCGTAAACACCGATTTAAGATGCCTCAACAAGGGAGAGCCTACCTGTGCCTCCTTGTCAGTCATATTTAACTCTGAGTTATGTTTTTTATATTGTTGATGTTTTTCCTCTGGTGAGCAGCTTTTTTTCCTTTTAGTCGTTGAGTTGGGAGAGAAAAAGTCAGTAAGTTTCCGACCTTTATCCATATGTAAAAATCGTCCTAACCAGGACCTATTGCTTAAATGGACTACATTCGAAAAAATAGGGGAAAAGACATACCTAGTGACCAATATATTTACCAAATTAGGCATTGCCGAAAATAAAAGAATAAAATAGGAAAATTTCTAAGACGAAACATCGATGGTTAGCCGTCTAGGCGAAGGATGGATAATGCCTAGTTGAAAACCTAGAAATATACAAATATAGCACTTTCAGAATGATAAAACTTATGAATGGTCAAGTCAATAATTTACTTATTATTAATTTTTTTACGAGGGTTCGCAACAGCAGAGTTCATATAACCGGTGTTTTTGAAATATGTAAGTATGTCGGGTTGGAATGCAGGGCCGCAGGATTCGAACCCGGGACCTTTACCTTACAGGGATGAGCGCCGTGTCAACGCCTAAACCGTTGCGGCAACCGACGCCTCTGTTGAAGACGCTACACAATATAAAAAGGTGTCGGGCACCTTTCACATTTCACAAAAAAGGGAATCGCCTGTCACAAAACTGACCACTGAAGGTAGCGAAAGCTAAAGAATAAAAATAGCTTGAATAGGCAGACCAGGATGATCGGAAACTATCAAATTACAGGAATACCGCAAGAAGCAATATAACAATATCTGTTTTTGAAGTAATAAAAGTTCAAATTTGTTTAACCTTTAGTAAAAATTGATTAGATTTTCATCTTCCTTAAAAATTGGCTGATAATGAAGCCAGCACGATAAAACAATTGAAGTTATTTTAAAGTCTGTAAGCTATTCCCTGACTGTTATGCTTTTAAAGCACCTATATTTCTTTTTCTCTTCCCTTAAATTTTCTCCTACTCGTTAACGTCAATAATCACTTATCTCTCCAAGAGGCGGTAAAATAAGAAAACTGACGGTGGAGTTTCGACCTTACGGGTTGTTAATTGACGTCGGAGTACGTCAAACAATCGACGCTCGCCTCTTTGGAGATAAAACGGGTCAAAATTTGGCCGGCTACGATAACCGAGAATGCAAACCGAACTAGGCCGGAAACCCGTCAGATCCAACACTTAGATCAAAGGGAGAAAGGAAAAAGAGAAAATCAATTCTAGATGAACTTTGATCTTTTGTTCCGAAATAGAAAGACGGCCTTTGGCTATCACCTGGAACAATTAATATTAAAAATAAATCAACTTTATATATTTTAAGATAAAACATCAGCCTATACCTTAAATCAGCCTAGTTCAATATAAAAATGACACCCAACGTTTCTACAACATTTATTTAGAAATCGTGAGATGCGGTCTGGTGTGATGTAGGTTTCAGAAAAACATTTTNAACGTTGGCACGATAAAGAAAATGTTTTTCTGAAACCTACATCACACCAGACCGCATCTCACGATTTCTAAATAAATATCGATTAACGGTCACTAATCACCGCACGTTTCTACAACACTTGCAATGTGGATATATTTACGACAAATGTGAAATTTTTTCTGATGTCTTTCTATCTTCACTGCTTTAGCGTTACAAATTTTTTTGGCTCTT